GCGGACTATCAACTATTTTGACTGGGAAATTTTGTGGTGAACACGTTTTAATTCCGAGAATTCCGATGATTCCGACTGATATGCCATTTGATTTCAAACGACTACAATTTCCGATTCGTCTTGCTTTTGCTATGACTATTATTAAATCACAAGGACAAGGCAAATTTGTGGTTTAAATTTGGAGCATCCGTTATTTTTCACATGGTCAACTGTATGTAGCGTGCTCACGAGTAGGCAAACCTTCGGCATTAATTATTCATTGTACCGACGGCAAAACAAAGAATTTTGTTTATCACAAAGCAAATCAATATATAAAATATGTCATTACATCAAAATTAGCATTTTTTAATTTCGATGAATTCCTAAACATTAAATTCATTTAGTAAGCAGCGAAGCGCGCGGGTCTGCTGGTCAAATTTTAAAGTTCGATCTAGCTCTACGCTATTGAAAAAGGTATAAAAAGGCATATATATATATATAGAATATATCACGAGCAAACAAAAAACCCATAACATTTCTCGGTTGTTTTTAATTCGCTTTTTTTTCGGTTCGTCGTTTGTGTACAAGCAACATAAACGGTTCTCGCGTCATCTGCTTTGCGGTTTTGCTTGCGGTCGTTTCGTTTCTATTTTCGGTGCTCTAAGTGTTCATGCCATTGTTGTTGCCAGCTGTACCTACTCAGTTCGTTTCAAAATGTGAGCTTTCGCTGCTGGTCTGTAGAACTGTGAGCCCGTGTGATTGAACACACGGATACTGATTACAAGATTATAAGATTACAAAAGTACAGAGCAACACTAGTAGTTCGTTTGTAGCCACTGAATCTATTTCTCTTGAGAGTCTATTTTGCAATACTGCTGGCCATAGTATATATACATACGCGCTGTTTGGAAATTTTTCGCCGTAGCTTCGCCTAATTGAGGTGAAGAAGCTTCGTCTTCGCCTGAATTGCCTGCAGGCTGGCCATCAATTGCGCACTTGCAAGTCATCTTGGCGCCACCGTGGTAGCAAACATCACATGTTATTGCATTTAAACGCCAGACCCTCGCCGACGGAACCCGTTGTCTCGTCATTTCCGCACCCTGAAGCGTAGCCACAGTCCTCAGCTGCCTCTCTGGTTGCACAGAACTCCTGCAGGGATGTTTTTCTCTTAGCCACTGCAGTTGTTCTGCTGAGGGTACGTGGTGGGCACTCTTAGACTCCAGATCACAAATGCACCTTATAACCTCCAGCCTCGCCCAACAACTTATACTGAAAAAGACCATGTCGTCGGCCACATAGGGTCTTGGGCAAATCCCCAGACGACCATGTCAAATACAGGCCAATCAGCCTGCTCCCCACTTTTGGGAAGCTCCTGGAGCGCTGCATTCTTCGAAGGTTATTGGACAGCCCATCCGTAAATCGAGCTATCCCTAATCTTCAACGTGCTAGGGCCAGCTGTACAGCCGCACGATATGCCTAAGGATAGCGTTGACAATGCGTCCCAGCCAATCGATGTAAAACTTACCACACTTGCCGACGACACGGCAGTCCTGTCAAGGGCCAACTGCGTTTACGACGCTACGGACTACCGCCAGCGGTACCTTTAAAGGTTTAAGAACTTGGCATTCAGGTGGAATATCATTGTGAACCCTGAGAAGTGTGTGGTACACACACTTAGGAAAGGAACTTGCCCTGGGGTATTTCTTCTGGCGAGCTGTTGGAGCAGCGGAAGGAACATACGTACCTAGGCATCACGCTGGACACCCGCCTGACCTTTGCCAGCTACAAAAGGATGGTCAGAAGCGCCTTGGAAAGCAGGGCTAGAAAACTCTGCTCGCTTCTTAAGCCTAACAACAAGCTCAGCCTGGCCAATAAGATCCGCATATATAAGGTAAACCTGGCGCCTGCATGGAGGTATGGCATCCAGGCCTATGGTGTCGCAGCGAAAACGAACCTTGACAGGATCAGGGTGTTTCCGAAAGATCTCTGGTGTTGAATGGTATGTCCGTAATAGAGACATCGCCAAAGACCTTGGAGTCCCCTCAGTCGGTGACATTATTAAAGAGGAAGCCACAAGATACTTGACCAAACTAAGGAGCCACCCGAACGTCCTCGCTAAAAGATTGGTAAGGAGCAGAACCAGGCGATGGTTAAATCGCATCCATCCGTCCGACTTGGCCACTAGGAACATATAAATTCCTGTTTCACAATCTCCGTTTTCGTCCGTTTAGTAAATATAAATTGTCCTTGACAATGTCCCTAATGATAATATAACAATTCAAATACAAAAGACAAAAACAAAAAATACATACCTTTTGCACAGCAACGGTCTGCGACTTGAACGCAGATCGGTCAGCTACCAAAACTGGTGAGCAGGCATTTACTCGAACTCAGGCAGAACCCAAAAGCCCTAACACTGAGGCGATGGGTCTCCCTCTTAAAAGCCCCTTAATTATGATCATGCATTTCCATTAGACTCAGGCAGAGACCACGCGCACTACAACTAATACGGTGGTACTCCTTTCATATAATGCATAGGAGAGCTCTCGCTCTCCGTTATACATAAGAACAATTGTACCCTAGGCTAAGAACAAAAAGAAATTCAATAGACATTCTAAATTAAGGCACCAAGCTGAGCGGTCTTGTTTCGGTAAGTATTTCTAACTTAACATGGCGACCGTGACAAATTCGACACTGCTCGATTAAAGCAACTTAATAATTATAACATCTAAGTCAAATCATATTAAAGCCTGTGATCATGGCAAAGGAACAATTAAATTTTGTGATTGCATTATTGTGTGCCGTTCTATGGTGTTCCTGCTGCATAAATACAAATATGAACGAGAAGGAACGTGTGAGTCGCTTCTGGGGACGCGACTCAACTTATACCCGTGCTCAGTCAGTATATACATTTTTGAGCTTATGATTTAAAAAAAAACCAAGGGGACATCCTCGAATTCTGTATACAAAATTATACAATTTTTTTCAAATATTTAGTTTAATGTTTGGGTGTTGCTACCACAAATTTTTGGGTAAATATACATTAAAAAAAAATTGAATTCGTCGGTTTTTTCAAATAATATTGAAACTTAGAAACTAGTTCATATTGATTTTTAGTTACTGTTAAAAAATTAACGATTGGTGAAAATCAAGAAGTTCAGCTGAGGTTGATATATTTAGTTAACTAGTTCGCAAAAACTTGTGCCGGTTTTTTACTGCCAATAACTGATTAATGACGATATGAATGGTATTAATATATATGTAATAGATTTCACCAATTATATTTGATGCTTAGAAAACATTCTTCCTCTTAACATTTCCAAAAGTAACGTAATGACATTCAATCACAGCAAACCTTTTCGAGTACACTATCCATAAAATTGCCTTACAACGCCTGTTCAAAGTTACTGAATTGGGCATTATCTTTATACCTAATCTGTGTTATAACTACCATATATCCACCATTTCGAATAAAAAAAGCCAGGGGAGTGCTTGATTTTATTAAAAGATGGTCTAAGGAATTCAACGACCCACTAACCTTCTTTATGTATCTCTTGCCCGGCTAATCTTAGAATATGTTCTAGAGAATTTGGGGATGATACAGCTACTACATTCGCATACCGGGCTGTATATTAAGGAACAAATTTTGGAGATCCTACACGATTACGAAATATACCTTTATAAAGTCTTTAGGCAAGAAATAAATAATATACATCGTATTTTAATTATCTTCAATGTTAAAAAATGAAAATTGTAGGTACCTCATTACATCTGATAATGGAAGAAATATAATTAAACCCATTGACATTTTAAATGATGATGCTAGAGAAGAAGAACTTTTGGACGACGACAAGAATTTAGACAATCTCATGGAAAAACTTGATTCAATAGAATTGGCAAATTGGTGAATACCTTGTGCGGTGTGCTGCGCACACGCTTCAATTATTCATGTTTGACGTAAACAAACATAGCGAAATCAGCAAGAAGGTTAACACTTGCCGCAAAGGGTGCAAATCGTTGCGTACAGGAACTTATATGTAAGTAAAAGAATTACCTTTTTTTAAGTATCTATATATAATATAAAATATACAAGATAAGAACTATTTAACTTGCACTCACGTTTTCACTAGATGGTTTTTGCCGTAAGGTTTTGCCGATCCGAAAATTTCTCAGTTATTCCACCATACATCGGGATGTTTTTAATTCGCACGTTTCTGTGCGGTATTTTTTCGATAATTGTCAAATGCAACCATAAATATTTGACATTCACAACAAAAAATCGGAATTTACTACAAAAATGTAAGCAACGACAGACAGGAAAATGGTAAAAACAACAACAAAACATCTGATATGTCAGAACTGTCTCAGGAACGAAAACTCGGTTTGTGGACTATCCTCTGGGCATTCGTTTATGAATGCTCTGCCAAACTCTTGCAGGATATTGCTCCGGCTATTGTCTGATAGCCCGCCGACTATTCTGTACTCGGAAAAAGAGCTTAAATTATACAAGCCTCTGGCTATACAAAACTTTCTTTAAAAAACGCGTCGCTTTTTTCGGGTACATCTTTCTCCCAAAAGTTCCCAAAAAGCTTCTCAAAAGACATAGAATATATGTTTGAATTTAAGACATTGATTGGATTTAGTAGAAGCAGTCACAAATGACCACGCTTCAGTGTTTTCAAAACAGATATCCATTCCAATTAATTCTGCTCATCAATGCTGACCTCATTATCATCATCCAAGCCCAACATGATTAAATTGTGCAAGAATAAATTTTGGTGCTTTATCACATTTACAGCTGCATCAGCTGTTTTTAATGGATGGTGGATGGTGCCAGTGGGAATCGGAGTTTCACATAAGTCAAAATTCCCACCGTTGTGCTGTGCTATGTGGGAACATCTCATATGAATGGTGGAATAACTGGGAAATGGAACTGGATGGATGGTTGGATGGATGGTTGACAGTGTGAAAAGGCTGTAACTAATGTCAGTGTAATTAGGCTATAAAACTAAAAATATCGATGTTGGAGAAACAACATTGATGTCAGCAGCGTAAACACATACATCGCTGACATCGATGTTTTTCGAGCTCTACTATTAACTCTGCTTAAAAAATATGGTAATTCTGAATAAATAGAACCAATTCCATACAATTATATTTGTATTTTCTAGTTACCACTGTCACTATTGAAAACCGCGCAGAGCCATCCTATGGTAAGAAACATCACAGTCCTGTTATAGACAGTGTACACAAGTTTTATATGTACATACATATATCCTCATTCTAATCATTTGTCTTTATACATATTTTTAGCTGGTTGAACTGAAAAATGGTGAGACTTATAATGGACACTTGGTGAGCTGTGATTCGTGGATGAATATCAATCTACGTGACGTAATTTGCACTTCAAAGGTAAGCAAACCATTTTTTTCTTTAGTTTTTAAGTTACAGTATTTATGTTATAAATTTGTAGAAAAAAATCTGTGTGTACGCGGCTATCTCCGCAACGCGTTCACCAAATTGCATACTGTTTTTTTTTTTATTTATAGCCATAGAATGTAGTCTGGCTTGCACAAACAAATTTGTACTTTTCTAAAATAGGTTCTTCAAGAATTAAAATTTAATCAAAAAAATCTTAAATTTGGTCCAAAAGTGTGTGTTTTAATCAGAGCTCGTAAGTGGTCCCTTTTAGCAAGCAGTCATAAAAAAACCGCTTGTTCGCTGGCACGATTAAAAACGGAATCGAAAAGACCCTTCCGCTTCGTTTTTTCGCTCTTTGCTCAACCAACTGTGTCTTGTCGCTCTCCTTATGCATTCGTTAACTTGAGACACTTCGTTGAGCCGAAAGTGTCTTTTGCGAATGAATGTGTGTGTTGCGTCCGTGCCTCAATTACGATGAGCCCTATATCTTTCTCCCTTCCTATTTCAAGCTTTGGCTGCAAGGAAATGTAAAAACAACAACAAAAACCTAACGCAACTACAACAAAAAGACACTGCGGACTTGCACTTGGCTCGTTTTTCTCAGTGAATAATGCTCAGTTCCTGAGCGCCGAACGAAAGTCTCTCGCTGAGACTGTTTTCGTAGGAACACATTTGTGCTTCGTTCGCCGCTCAGCTCGAGATACGTCTTCTGTTCAGAGAGAGAGAGCACGTCTGTTTCATTTTTCTCTGTCTTTTCCTCGAGCAGACAGCATAAAAACGAGAAGGAACGTGTGAGTCGCTTCTGGGGACGCGACTCTACTTATACCCGTACTCAGTCAGTATATACATTTTTGAGCTTATGATTATTTAGAATTTTAGAATTAAAAAAAAAAAATTTACATTTTACATTTTTTGCTACATCTGTTATCTACATATACAATGTATATTTTACATCTAACATGTAGATTATACATGTACCATTTAGATTCTACATCATCTCCGCTAGGGGTTGCTCGCGCACTGAACGTGGCAGAGTGTGCGAGCGAGAAAGAGAATCAGTAGCGTCAGCAGCGCTGGAGAAGGAGCGGGAACCAACAGAAAACCAATTCTTCAGTCTGGCTATAATTATGATCCGATCTGATTCAGATTCGGGAATCTGGTAGATATGGTCATGGTCATACTCTACGATACTGCGTTTTTAGTTTTATCGTATCTTTAAAATTGTGACTGCCACAGATTTTCGTCCTTTGTGGTGGCGGAAGGGGGCGGGGCGAAATTTTGAAATACACTTGTACCAGTGTGATATCACATGAGTCTGGAAACCAAATTTGGTTTCTCTAGCTCTTATAGCCTTTGAGATCTAGACGCTCATCGAAACGGACAGACGGGCATGGCTATATCGACTCGGTTTTGATTCTGATCAAAAAATATATATACTTTATGGGGTCGGAAACGTTTCCTTTTCTGCGTTGCGCACATCCACTTTTACCACAAATACAATATACCCCTTAACTCTTTTTTGAGTACAGGTATAATAAAGGACACAGGATTTATTTTTTTCGATTTTTTATTATTTTTTAAAGTCTTATATTTAATTAAAAGTACCGCAAAAAAATCGTAATTTTGAATTGAAAGCTTAATTATTCCCAAAAGGTAAGCTAAAATCAGAAAATTTTTTGGTTTTATTTATAGCTGCATTTCTTTGCTTTTCAGAATAGCAAAGTTTATTAAAACAAAATGTATGATACTTAAATTATATTAAAAAAGAAGCGCTACCTCTGAAAAAAGCTTACAAAAAATATACCAGTTTTCAACAATTCTTTAAAAAAAGTTGATGATCACTAATATCATGTTTAAAGGCCCAAATCTTTCAATAAAAGTTTTTTTGGTTCGAAGCGGTGAAATGGTGTCGGGTAGTGTAATAATAGAATCAAACGTTATACAAGAACAGTTTTATTTCATGATCAAAAATCAAGAGTGAATTTTCTGTACAAATATTAGAGAGAATCAAAAAATGACTATTTATTGATTTAAGGATTCTTTTGAAAATTTGTGTTTAAACTTCTTATTAGTTTCTCTTGTCTTTTATATTGTTAGCTTATTTTAATAAGATTTTCTCTTGAAAAACATACCAAAATTGTATAAAACAAAAAAATTCGTTATTTTTTATTGCCCGGATTTCTGTGTCCGCTCCTGTATTTAAAATGAAAAAATCGAATGCACAATTGACCAAATAAAATTTCAATTTGATTTCGGACTAACAATACTATTAATATTATTATTTCAGGATGGGGACCGTTTTTGGCGTATGCCGGAATGCTATATTCGAGGAAGTACCATTAAATATTTGCGTATACCTGATGAGGTAATCGATATGGTTAAAGAAGATGCCCAAGCAAAATCGCGAAATAGAACAGAGCTCAACAAAAATCGTGTTGCAAACTCAGCACAAAATCAACGCTCAGCTCGTAACTGTAACCGAAATAATTTCGGAAATCGAAGCGGACAATTATGTGGAGGTTCTGGAAATAGCACTCTGCGAGTAGGTGTTGCAGGACAAGGGAATCGACTACTTGCTCAGAGTAACAAAAATAGAAAATAATATAATAAAAAAGAAAATAAATAAAAATCTATATATATAAAATGAATCCCTATTTCCCTTGGTCCAGGCATTGCGCGTGAACGGCTGAACCGATTTTGCCAATTCTCTTTTTGTTGTGTTGGTTATTGTCAGGAGAAGGGTTTAGGGTCTAGAATCCCCGATATATTGGCTGCAAAAAGTGTTAATAAATGGTTATAGCTTTGACAGAGAGACCCATCAGTAGAAAAGCAAGCTTTGTATTCGAAACAATTCGACCATATGATGCGGTTCAATGGTTTTCTTTAATTTACAAAGGAATTTTCGATTTTAAAAATGCCAGCAATTAGACGTACAGGCTTAAGTCGAAGAACTCACAATTATGAAAGTCACAGATATAGAAGAGCACGTAAAAGCGACGAGCAACCGGAAGCGAGGAATGAAGTTGAACGGAATCGGAATCGAAATCAACAACATAGAAATGTTGTTTTAGACCCCTATCGAGCTCCATTCAATTATAACGTGGTAATAGATTACAGTTCACAGCAAATCGTTGCTATTGGACAAATGAACGTTGTGTGCCAATACTGCAAGTCATTTAAGTTTAAAAATGAAGCTACTGGATTGTGTTGCGCGAGCGGTCAAGTCAAATTGATACCATTGGTACCGACATCGGAAGTCCGCGACATATGCATGAATACGCTCAGGATGCTATGTCGTATGCACGTATTTATGGCACACCAGATTTGTTTATAACGTTCACATGCAATCCAAAGTGGACAGAAATTAGATAAGAATTATTTTATGGCCAATGACCCATTGATCACCACGACATTACCGCAAGGGTGTTCAAAAGAAAGTTAAAATCACTCATGGATTACATTGTTAGGCATCCTGTATTCGGCGAAACGGGCTGTTGGATGTATTCAGTCGAATGACAACAACGCGGATTGTCACATGCACACATTCTCATTTGGTTGGTACAGATGATAAGACCGGATAAAATCGACGATGTGATATCTGCGGAAATTCCTAATAATGATGAAGATACATTGTTATATGTATGAGATTGTTACAAAAAATATGATTCATGGTCCTTGTGGAACATTAAATAAAAATTCTCCGTGTATGGTGAATGGAAAATGTTCAAAACGCTTACCAAGACAATTAGTAGCAAAAACTATTAGTGGAAATGATGGTTACCCTCTTTATCGCAGGCGATTCACTGACGACAACGAAAGAACAACAACAGTCAAAGTTAATCAGCATGACAGTCCACGTATACTCACTCAATAAGAATAGACGTGCAAGTTACACGCTCCGTCAACAAGTGCATTTTTCGGTGAAACCTGCAAACAACAACACATCAGCTGCTGGTCAATACAAATATAAGGTGCTTACCAACATAAGAGCACTGTCAGCAGATCACCACCGGCTGGCCCGTGGGCTTATTATTGTTTTTAAAAACTGGTCATCGAGTAACTCGAAAGTAGCTCAAACTTGGCAAAGGAAGGCACGGAAAAAGCTGGAAACGAAAATTTTCACTTAATACTGAGTGGGAAACGTGAGTACGTACGAACAACGAAAACAACAGCGCTAGAGGTGACATAACACAGCTGTTAGCGATCGATCTGCCACGCATAATGCAAAAGCTCGCGCTAGAGGGCGCCCACCAATAGTGCACCAACATTCTGTATAGCCTCGCCTCTGTTAAAGCTCATAATCAAAACAATGCAGCCTGTCTCAAAACGTCTGCGTGAAAATACTGGAACAAATTTGAAGGGACCGCGTACATCAGAAACGCCTCAAAACCTTACAAATAAGGTAGAGGATCTGGAAGCCCAGCTTTTGTTAAAACTATTGGCCAAGGCCAATATCGCATGCGACCTGAGGATCCATGGAGTTCTTCATATCTTCAACAACTTGTGCCTCAGCCTAAATCTCACGCCTGCGCCTGCTATTAGGGATATCTATTGTATAAGGCCGAACAAAAATCTTCCCCACTCCATCGTTGACCCCATCATCATTGTCAAGCTGGAACGGGTGCGCGACAAAGCGGCATTACTGCGCAACATCGGTATGTACAGGCGGGAAACCAAGCAGCCCCTAACTCTGCAGTTAGGTTAGGTTAGGTTGAACTCTGGAACTCTGCAGTTACTCGGCCTAAACTCACCAGCCCCAGTATATGTCAACGAGCAGCTTACCAGGGAAAACTACCAGATTTTTAGAGAAGCTCTGAAAATGAAGAAGCATTGGAAGCTGCAATCCGTGTTTACGGTTCACGTCAAAGTGACCCAAGAAAGTGAGATCTGGGAAGTTCTCAAAATTGAGAGATGCAAGCTGCTACTGAGAGCCCTGCAGCTGGAGACGAGAATAGCTCGTTTTTCATGTTAGCTATAAGTATTACCAATCTAACCACCTTCCTGTATTTTATTTTTAAGTGGGCCCTTAACTGTACAAATTTTTCGTTGTGTTAAAACACACTTGATATGGACAGTTCATTAGAAATAACAAATGTGAATACATCTCAGGTCCTCAGAATTCTGGTGAAGCAAAAATCGGGTCTGCAAATCTGCCATATCAATACACAAAGCTTGACAAAAAAAATTGACGAATTCAGACATATGTTTATCGACTCTGGTGTGGATGTTATATGTGTGTCCGAGACTTGGTTTGACTTAAGTGACTCGTTAATTGAATGTAGAGGATACAATGTATTTCGTTCTGATCGTGTAGGGCATGCCGGGGGCGTTGCAATATACATAAATAACAAGATATCCGCAAAAATCCTCTGTAAGCAAAGACCAGATAGTGCCATAGAATACATATTTCTAACGATCACCATCAATAGAAGAAAGATGCTTCTTGGTTGCATATATCGACCAAATCGAAAAATTGACTACTCAGACCTGACATCACTTATTACTGACATTTCCTTGACTTATACAGACGTAATCCTAGCAGGTGACTTTAATTGTGATATTCTTAGAGAATCCTCACTAGCAGATAGCATGTTGAGCCTTGACTTAAATATAGTGAACCACCAGCTCCCCACACACTTTACAAAAACAAGAAACACACTACTAGACCTATTCTTTGTCGACAGTACTGACCAAATTCTACTATATAACCAACTCACAGCACCAGGGTATTCAAAACATGACCTTATTTTCTTGACCTATGATTTTAATCCTGACTACGTAGTTATGACACCTGTTACAGAGACTTCAAGAACATTGACCTTGAAAAACTACACACTGACATTAGCATCCTTGACTGGACATCAATACATTATATGTTGTCTGTAAATTCTCAGCTTGCCCAACTTCAATCAAACATTGACTATCTTTACTGTGAACATGTACCTATTAAGAGAAAGACAGTCAAACGAACAGATAACTCATGGTTCAACCCAGAGATAAAGCTGGGTATCAAACGAAATGAGGCTTTTAAAAAATTTAAATGATATAAGACTGAAAGCCACTTTAATATGTACAAATCATTAAGATCGAACGTAACTAAACTAATATACTCTGCCAAGACCGCCTTCTACTCGTCAAAGTTTAAGCAAGCAGAAATGGCAAGTGATTAAAAGTATAGGAATTGGCAAAAAAACAAGAAACTCACTAGTTGACATGGACGTAAATGAAGTTAGCAAAAAATGTTTGCAATTAGTTGTACCGGACCCACCACCAACCCTGAACTTGACATCAGCGCCCTATAATTATACTGTTCCTAGCTTTAGTTTCTGTTGTGTTAGTCCTTGTGATGTTCTAGAATCTATTCTTAAGATAAAATCAAATGCTACTGGCCTAGACGATATGAACCCGAAATTTTTGAGAATAATACTCCCTAGAATCATCATGCACGTTACTCACATTTTCAACACAGCCATTACCACATCAACGTTCCCGGAAAAGTGGAAGGAGGCTAAAATATTCCCTATCCCAAAAGCAAACTGCAGAATATAGGCCAATAGCTAAACAAATAAATTCATTTCTTACAGAGCACACATTACTAAGCAACAATCAATCTGGATTCAGAACAAATAGAAGTTGCACAACTGCAATGATAAAAATTGTAGAGGATATCCGTGAAAGAATAGACGACGGAAATGTAACGTTCCTAACTCTTCTTGACTACACTAAAGCTTTTGACTCAGTTGACCATCGCATCCTCATCGCAAAGCTTCGCGAATCCTACAACTTCTCTGACTCTGCAGTACGGTTGCTATCATCCTATCTGCTAAATAGGAGCCAGGCTGTTGTTGCTGAAGGGAAAATGTCGTCCTTTGCCTATGTTAAGTGTGGTGTCCCACAGGGATCAGTACTTGGCCCGATATTGTTCTCCATTTATGTAAATGATTTGCCAATAGTATTGTCCGACTGTAAAGTGCACATGTACGCCGATGACGTCCAATTATATGTTAGTCGACCGTTAAATCGAATAGATGAGTGTATAAATGTTACCAATAAAAAGCTTGAGAAAATTAGTGCGTGGGCAACCAAAAATCGTCTATGCCTCAATCCAACGAAGTCAAAATGCTTGATTATATACAAAAACAAGAAAAAAATAAATGAAACTATATTGAGACGTGTAGAAATATCAAACACTCCCATTAGCTACATAGAGAAGACAACTAATTCAGGCTTTATAATAAATAGTACTCTGTCGTGGGATGATCATGTGAGTAAAGCAGTTGGAAAACCATATGCGATCTTAAGGGCACTTAATATTACGAAGCAATTTATACCAGTTAGCATCCGGATGCAGATAGCAAAAGCATACCTAGTACCTGTACTCACTTATGGGATTGAGGCATTTGGAAACTGTGGCTACGAAAACAGGCAAAAGTAGAGCGTGTGCTTTAATAATATAGCTAGATACATATTTAGATTAAGGCGCAGCGACAGAATCTCTGCATTCTCATATAAAATTTTCGACATGACTCTTTTCAAATGGATTGACTATAAGATTCTTACGTTCCTAGATAAAATAATCCTCACCAGACAACCCCAATATCTGTATGAAAAATTAGGATTTACCAATTCCGCAAGAACGAACAATATTATCACCATACGATATAGAACACTAAACTCTGAGAGACATTTCTTTGTGAATGTTATTCGCATATGGAATCATCTTCCACATCAAATGAAAACAATACGAAACCTTTCACAATTCAAAACACAGTTAGGTGCCCACCTTACACTAGCAAGTTTAAAAATCAAATTCAATTAAAATAAATAACCGAACTTAGCATAAGAAAACAAATCAATATATGTAACCACTATATTAGTCTATTAAAAGTTAATTTAGATTAAGTTTAATACCAAACTATGTGACCCTAGTGCTGGTGCTCTAATTACACTACTCGACAAAACCGAACTTTTTTTTCCTCAAGTATCCAAACCGACTTTTTCTGATAGATATGGGGATTTAAAATTTTTTAAAGAATTATGGTTTTTTTTCTATGGCAGAACTTTTTTTTGAAGAATTTTTGAAGTTTTCACATAACTTTAGTATCTTACGTCTGGTTGTAAAGTATTTTGGTTTTGGTTGTTTTGGTTGTATTTTGAAAAGGTAATTAAAACAGCTAGAAGTTAAGCCCAAATACTTTGTGATTTCAGCTTACCGTCTGGGAAATAAAAAGCATTGAAATGCAAAAATGATGATTTTTGTGCGAAAAAAAATTATATCTTGTGTCCTCTATTTTTTTGTGTATAGGTACGTTAATTTTGCGTCGTTTAAGGTATCGCTCATTAAAATCTATGGAGAGACTTTGGAGCTAAAATTCGGTAACCAAACCCAAAATATGGAAAAAATGAACAAAAAATACCTTTTGGAAGGTTGCGGGCCAAACTGCCAATTGGGAACAAAGCAAACGAACAAGGGTTGTACATTTGGTACCTGATCGCGTTCCTTTGTTCCCAATGTTCTGTAGCTCGACTCGACGCGGGTTGAGGCATTGACGAAGCCGAAAGCAGAGGCAAGGGCTAGCCTAAAAGAGAACCGCGCGCCCGTCGCAACATCAGCTTTTCAAAACAAAACGAAAAAATATTTTATGAACCGCTTCGTCAATGCCTCAACCCGCGTCGAGTCGAGCTACAGAACACACCAAGAAAATATGAAGTCTTACGACGGGAATAGGTCCAGGGACGGATTAGCAGTTGCCTAGGGCCCCCTAGGGATAACAGAAAAATTTTGTTGAAAAAACAAAACTCCAAATAATGAATAAAAAATATAAAAGCCACAGAGAAAAATACAAAATAAAGGAGGGCCCCAGATTGATGGTTGCCCAGGGCCCGGCTGAGGGTTGATCCGGCCCTGAATAGGTCGCTACATCACATCTGATAGAAGTGTTTGTTTGTTTGTTTATTTTGATTTTCCTAGTGCTACAAGGTTGTACCTTATGATTAGTGCACTAGTCACAAAAATTCCAATACGATTAATTAATAAATGAAATTGGATTAGATCGAATATTTCTTATAGCTAATTTTGCTTAATTTTATACACATTTTTAATTCTAAATTTAAATTTAAATATCTCCTAAGCATAATAGATTCTTAATTTTATTTTGAGGTATGTTATTCTTTTCTTTTAATTTAGAGTTTTCAGATGTATAGTCAAATTTGTCCTGAATTTTAATGCGTCTACAGTTGTTTTTAAGCTATTTGGTAATTGGTTCCATAGGCGAACAGTGTAAATGAAAAAGTGTCTTTCAGAGCTAGCTAGTCTGTGCTTAAGACATACTATATTATTTGTTCTTCGTG